AAGATCTCATGATGTTTAGGAATGATTTTAGATAGCTAAACATGAGAAAAGATCAAGAAATCACTGTCTAGGGATGGGTCGACGACGCGGAGGTGTATTTAAATTTTGGTCGCGAAAATACTTTTTGAGGTAGAGAGGTCCATGTCCTCGCCGCAACGCGAAGGGAAAAATTACACTTCTGAGGAACAGGTACGCGATGCAGACCTGGTACCCAGTTTCTGCCCTACTTGTTCCTTCTTCATTTTCTAATCCCAATTCGCCTAAACTCGATTCTTTTTCTCAAAATCCCTTTAGATTCAGATACCCAGTATGTATACACAAGAATCTAACTCAAACAACTCAAGTAAACAACATTTTAACCTCAAGGAACTCCTCAATCTCAACCTAACTCAAGAACGAAGGCCAATTTCAAGAACACCATTCAAGATTCATCAACTTTCAACTTTCTAGAACAAACTTTGCTGAAATAACATGATTGGCGCGTGGGTGAACGAACCCAACGCTATGAAAGGCTCACATACCTCGTAGGGATCACCCCTCGACGAAATCCACGAGCCTACCTTCAAGAACTTGGCGATTCCTTGCTCCTTCTCCTTTTTTCTCCTTTTCTTTTCTCATCTCTCAAAACCCTAACTTGTTCCTCAAAAGCGTAAACTGAATCCAAATCAGTTTAGACCCCAACTTAATTACCAAAAACGAAATAAATTATTTGGGTGGTGAAAAGACCATAATGCCCTTCTAAAATTCGGATTGGACTTTTTCTTATTTGAACAACCCAACTTCCAATGGTCATAACTCACTCATACAAACTTGGAATCGCGCAAACTCGGTGGCGTTGGAAAGATTATTCCAAGATCTTTCCTATGATATCTGGAAACACACCTAACTCATCCTGAGCTAGGAGTTATGGTCATTTGAAGTTGACCAAAAACTCAAGCTTAACTTAACTTAACCAATTTTCCAGATTTTTATTATTTCCAAAAATCACTCTTTCTAATTATAGCTCTTTCTAGTTCTTTCAATTTGCGAGATGTTACATATTTCTTTTTTATACGTTTTTTAAGAAATCGTTGATGATGAATAATAAGTGTTTTTACTAATTTACTTTTCATGAATAATTTATTCAATTTTGTTTACTTTAAAAATAATTAATTTCAATATTAAAAAGATTATTTGAATTTGGTTAATTGATGATAGTTTAAAACAAATATTTTTAGCAATATAACTAAATAGTGTACTTGTCCGCGCTTCGCTCGGTCCTTAAAAAAATTATAATATATAAATAAATATTAATTAATGTTATAATTTTATAGAAAAACAGTAATTATAATAAAATGTCTTTTCAGGATTTTATATATATATATATATATATATATTCTTTTATTTACTAATCTACCATTTGATCTTTTTCATTTCCCTGCAAGTTGTAAGAATTAATACATCATAAAAATTAACGCACTATGAATAAGACCTGTAGATAAAAAAAAAACGTAAAATTTTATATGTAAAATTCTTCAGCCTTATATAATCAATACAAGATCCAAGATATAAAAACAAATTTATTGAATAGAAGTCTTAAAAAATAAGATTATACCTATAAAGGAATATCCGAAAATATGAATAAGAACACATACACATATAGGGTTCATCAAGAGGAATAAGGATTAATTATCAATGATTTAATTATTTAATTTTAAAAAAATTTATGCACATTAAAATTATTGAAATTAAATATCTTTTCTAAATTGGCTTAAGGAATAACTTTTAAATTTCGCTTTAGGAATTGTTGCACAGACGTGAACCAGCTTATGGGGAGAGGTTAGCTTTGTACGTGGGTTGAATCTTATCAAGAAAATATTTAATTTATTAATATAATTAGTTGCTTGGTTTATCGTAATTAAGTAATGTCATGTGAATTATATATATTATTAATTAATAGTTAACATATGAAGTTACGAGGATGAAGATGAATCTCTAAGAAAAAAAGAGATAAATGAATTCCTATTAAAGAAAGGTGGCATATCACTCTTCTTTTGTTTAACTTTTGTATTATATATAAATTTATTTTGAAATGAAAGAACTATCCATCTTTTTCTAGATATGTTATTTATTTAATAAATATAATGAAAGAACAATTAAAATTCAATATGAAATTAACATAATTATTTCTAAGATTATAGTAAGACATTTATACCAGAAAAGATAAAATTATTGCATTCCAATTCACAATATAACTATATACAAGTCTGCAACAAAAAAAAAAGTAAAAAAGAATGATATATCGTTAATGATAACACATTCTTCAAATATGTAGGAATCATCAAATTCAATATGAAATTAATATAATTATTTCTAGAATTTATAATAGAACATTTATCCCATAAAAGATAAAACTATTACATTTAAATTCACATTACAATGTACAATCTTGCAATAAATATATTTCTAAAATTTATAATAGGGCGTTTATGTACAAGACAAAATTGTTACGTTTAAATTTTTATTACATTTATATACAACCTTGCAACAAATAATAAAAATAACAAAATTTGATATATTATTGAAAAGGGGGCCATATGCCATTCCACTTCATTTCCTAACAAATAAAAATTTTGTACCAGTACACTATATTAAACTAATAGATGTGGCAAAAGCAACATAAAAATGTATATATTGCTAAAGAAGGGACCATATGTCATTCCACTTCATTTCATAACGAAGAAAGTCATTTCCAATACACTATATAAATAATTGCGGCAAAAACAAAATAAAAATGTATGAACCTTTTTTTGTTTTTCGGGAATAAAGTTTCCAAAAAAAAAAAAAGGAATAAATTGTTGCCATTATTAATAACAATAATAATAATAATAATTGAGAAGAAAGCTATGGGAAGAAAAAGGAAGAATGTTGTGCTTTGGAAATGACTTTCTTTAGTATTTATAGTACTCAAAAAAATTAGTAACTGAAGAAAACTAACGGATTTTGAGTAATTTCATATAAATGAGCATTAAGTGCATAATTATGCTTAATGAAGGGACTGCAACGTGGGCTAAAAGTTTTAATTGGGATGTTACTGCATTTGTTTGCCATATTTAATTGAGTTTTACGAGATCTTTAATTATCCTTTAAGCAGACAACGGAAATGAACCAAAAAATGCAATAAACAATTCAATTCTGGCCATTTAAATGACCCATTATAATGTAATCAACACAAAAATAATAATGAAAGAAATAATTTTTATTTTTGAAGGTTTGAAGAAAGAAAATAAGAAAAAATCTCAAAATTATGAGAAAAAAGATAAATAGTAATAGAGGTCAATGAGGCATTTTACATCAGCGTGTTCATTTTCAACTTTATTATAGATATATAGATATGTAATGAAATGAAGAAAGTACAATTAGCCTAAAATATGTAATGACTTTATACCAACAAAAGCCTAATTTATCTTATCCGGATAAGTTAACACGTTGTATCTTTAAGAAGTGCTCCAAAAAGCAATATTTAGTGGAAACCAAATAGTCAACAAAACAGATTAGTTAAATGGCTTCCTCTATAATTATCGATTGGTAGATGAAGTGTAACAGTATCCCCCACCTGCCCATTCATTAATGAAATTGAAACAAAAATATTAAATGAGTAATCAATTGAGCTATTAAAATTTCTCTCATTTTTCATTGTTGAGATGTGCATTAGTCTGCCTCAATTTCAACTCTTTCATTGTGATTTGTGAATAAAATGAATTAAACCTTAAATATCAATGATTTTTCACCTTTTTTTATTTATTACTCGGTGTTCAGTACTCAAATTGTAGCCTGACTATTCCAGATAAACTTCCTAACTTCCTGTAAGATCCCATTTGGTAGGAAGCGCTCCTTATTAAGAATTTTTTTTATACTCAGGACTTGAATCCAAAACTTCTAGTTAAGGAATAACAGCTCAATCCACAATATCATATATGTTCATCGGTGGTTCTCTCGCTTTCATTTATATGAGCATTAACTCAAAAATCTTATTCCCTCCGTTTCATATTAGATGACACTTTCTATTTTATACGGTAATTAAGAAATTATTAATAAATTAATTAATTTAATTATTTTGTCCTTTGTTCATATCAATGTACATAAAATTAAGTTAGAAAAAATATACATAAAATATACGAATAGCTAGTATTGAGCATACTTCACATTCAAAGGCATATAAATTATAGGGTAAAACGAAAATAATAATAATTAATTCTATCTTAATTTAGTAAGTGATTAAATAATATATGACAGTTACTTTTTTTAATAAGATGTCTATCTAATATGGACGGAGGAAATATATAATTAATGTATATATCAAAAAGCTTAAGAATACTTTTCTCTGTCATAGTAAATACTCCCTCCGTCCATTTTTATTTGTCATGTTACGCTTTTCGAAAGTCAATTTACTTAATTTTCAAAGTTAAAGTAGATTACATTAATTCAATATTTTAAACAAAAAATTTAGATATTCAAAAACTATACGAAAAATACATTGTAAAATATTAGTCAAAGTTTTTATAATTTGACTTTAAAATAGGAAACTATGAGAATTAAAAGTGGACGGTGAGAGTAGTAATTAATGCTTATGTGTTTAAACGTATCCAATAAACTTAAATTAAAATTGCCACATATATAGTTGAGTAGTTGCGTCTTCAATTTTTCATCCTTTTTTAAGTTTGATAAAAAAACAAAGGTGACGACAAAAGATTTATCACTTTATCATAAAAAAATAAATAAAAAAGTTAGTAAAATTAATTAGGCTTTTCTTTTCTCTTTTCTTTTGTTAAAACATTTTTAACGTAAGCATGATCACAATAAAGTTGAAAAATGAGGGGGCCACGTGGAGAGTTCTAGTCTATAGTAGAAAGACCATAAAAAATAACTTGTGCTTTATTTAGTAGTACCTTAAACAAATAAAGTTGTACCTTTTAACTTTGAATAAGTAGTTAAGTGTTAAGTATTTATTAGCTCTTCACCTGTATTTGGAATCAATATATCAATCATCTACCTGTTTGATTGAACCCTAGCTCTCACTCTCTCTTTCTCTCTCTAAAAAAAGCATAAAAGTTTCAATCTTTCAGGTTCAATTTCTTCTTTTTTTTATCTGCATGTTTATGTTTTTCCATATACTGGTTGAATTTTGCTTCTTTTTTTGGTGGGTGTTTGATTAAAATGGAGATTTGTAGTTAATATAGTGAGTTTTTTTTTTTTGTTGATTTAGCTTTGAAATTTCCTTTTTTATATGAAATCTTAGCTCTTTTCTTCTTTTTTGGGGGTTATTTGGTGGTTTTGATTTGGTTATTGTAGAGATTTATGGTTGATTCTTAGTGGGGGTTTTCAGTCTGGATTTTGTGATGATGGGTTGTTTGGTGAATTTTATTGTCAATTAAAATTTTAGTTTTTTCCAGCTTCAATTTTCCATGTGCATGTTTCCATTTTTACATGAATCTTGTTTTTTCTTTTTAAATTTTTAGGTAGTTTTTTTGTTGGATTGGATGGAGATTTATGCCTGAGTTTTAGTGAGTTTTTGATCTGGTTGGAATCCTAAGTTTCAATTTTTCAAGTTCAGTTTTGTATCTTCATGTGTCTATCTTTGCAACAATTTTGCTGATTATTGTTTTGTTTTTGCTTTTAGTTGTTAATTTTTGTCGGTTCCATTTTTTTGAGTGGATGTATGGTTGTTTTTTTGTTTGTTTTTGGGGTTTTTCAGCTCGATTTTTTTTCTCAAGGTTATCGCTTGTTTGCTGATTTGTTTTCCCTTGATGTTAGGTAATTTGATTGGAGAGGCGAATCCAGAATTTGGAGCTTCAATCAGTGGGAGGTACTGAGTGTTGCTCTCCTTTCGACCTTTATGTTGATCCATGATCGATCAGTTGTGGGTGTTTTTAGTATTTGAGAAGTGGTCTTGCTCTGTGCTTAAAGACACATAAGTTACATGCATGCATGTGTGGGTTTATGTTTTGTGGTGATAGAGCTGAAATTGAAAGGGGAGATTTTAGCAGATGCATAGTATGGTTTCTTTTGCTTGTTGATTGAAGTTCGGGGTTAGTCTTATGTTCTTGCATAGACAGGTGCATATAGGGACATGCATGTATATATGTGTTTCTTATCAATGTTTAGAGCTGAAATTTAGTTCAGAGGTTTTTGTGGATGCATAATATGGTTTCTTTTGCTTGTTGATTGAAGTTTAAGGTTTAGTCTTATGGTCTTGTATAGACAGGCACATATAGGCACATGCATGTATATTCGTTTTTCTTCATGATGATGTTTAGAGCTGAAATTTAGTTCAGAGGTTTTTGCAGATGCATAAGATGGCATCTTTGTTTGTTAAGCTGTCTTGGTAGAGATGCTTCTGTTGCTGTTTCCATGTATGAATCACTAGGAGCATGCAAATGCTTTAAAGACACTGTTACGATTAATGTTTTATTCATGGATTGAATTCTATTTTCTGTGTTGTTTTACTTGTGGAAAGCATTTTACTCCCTATGATTTTCTTTGTGCTGTTTATTCCCGACTTAACTACCATCTGGATTCGGAATGACCGGAAAATAACAAAGGTTTTGGATTTTCCTGTTGGTATTTGGATTCTGTGATGATACTAGAATAACAAGTTTTCTGATTGCGGAACATTTAGTTACACATTTTCCTGACTAACAAGGAATTGGGATTTGGATTTCCTGACAACAACAAATTTGCAGGTTATATCAAATTATCCGAAAAGGTTCCAAAAATGATGCATGATAGACATGTTCGTTATTTGAAAGTAGTGTCTATTATACTTCCAGTTGGGATTTAGTTTGTATCTTGGATTAGACGAAAGTAACAACATTTATCTAGAGTGTAGGAAGATTTTGCGACAATTATGCATGCTCACCACGTGCCTGGGTTGGGAAGAAGTTTCTTTGTTACTACTTCAAACAAGATTTTGATAATAGATACTTTGAACTGATGACTCTGTTAACTCTGTATGAAGTGCATTGTTTTGTAGTTTTTAGTAGTTTCGGTTATACTTTTTGCAGCAGCTCTTTTAGGGAGTGATCATGTCACTAAATTGTCTGTTCCTAGGGCTGTAGAGCCTGCTACGTCTTGCACCATGGAAGTGGTCTAATGCTCATTAGTCATTACTATCTTTTGCTTGTTAAGATATTGTCTTCATTGATGTGATCTGTGTTATGACATGATGGAGCTTAATGACTTTATTCCTTTTACACTTCTAGGTTTCCTTCTAATAGATTATCTAATATATTTTGCATTGGAATATTTCACGTGCTTGATGGACTGTTTGACTTATTTCTTTCTGTTATTTGGTTGAGATACTTTTCCATGCATACTCTGCATATATTTTTTAAATTGTATGGTCTTCAGTAGCATCTTCTTACTAAGCATCTGATGTTTTCTTTGAAATGCATGAATATATATTATCTTCATGTGATTGATATTCTCAGTATAGAAGTAGCGATCATAGTCAATAGGTGGGTGCAAGTGCAAGCGAGAAGTTAGAAAAGGTGGATATTATTATTATAGTATCATTATGCAGAGAACATAATGAGACAATTGAGCTCATAAGTGACATGATTAGTCAGGGCTTCCCTTGACATGATTAAACTGAATGACTAGCGTTTCTTTTGATTTATTTGTTTAGTTTCTAATACTTGAAAGACTTTATTTAAATTCTGAAATTGTTACTTGTTTCTACCTAGCCCACAGCCTAAGGTAGCCTTGAATTCTCCAAAAGGGAATCTTGCTCAAAATGGATCATCATGGAAATGGACAGCCTCCAGGTATTGGAGTCGTTACTAGCTCAGCTCCAATATATGGTGCTCCATACCAAGCTAACCAAATGGCAGGGCCTCCTGCAGTTTCAGCTGGTGCAATTCAATCTCCTCAAGCAGCTGGTCTTTCTGCTTCGTCAGCCCAGATGGCACAACATCAGCTCGCTTATCAGCACATTCATCAGCAGCAGCAGCAACAATTGCAGCAACAACTCCAAACTTTCTGGGCAAATCAATATCAAGAAATCGAGCATGTTACTGATTTCAAGAATCATAGCTTGCCATTGGCAAGGATCAAGAAAATCATGAAAGCTGATGAAGATGTTAGGATGATATCTGCTGAAGCACCAGTCGTATTTGCTCGTGCCTGTGAGATGTTCATACTTGAATTGACTCTGCGTGCATGGAACCACACTGAGGAGAACAAAAGGAGGACGCTGCAGAAAAATGATATCGCTGCAGCCATAACAAGGACTGACATATTTGATTTCTTAGTTGATATTGTCCCAAGGGAGGACTTGAAAGATGAGGTGCTTGCAACAATTCCTAGAGGAACGCTTCCTGTTGGAGGCCCAACTGAGGGTCTGCCATTCTATTATGGCATGCCACCACAATCTGCTCAACCGATTGGAGCTCCAGGGATGTACATGGGAAAGCCTGTTGATCAAGCACTTTATGCCCAGCAGCCCCGTCCATATATGGCTCAGCCAATTTGGCCCCAGCAGCAACAACCACCCTCAGATTCTTAAGCAGCTCAAAGCTTAGATTACAGGGTAAGCATGATGTTATTCCATCACTAAAGTTATCCTGTCATTTGTTCTTTGTCTTTTGTTGATGCTTCACTCCTGCCTAGGCCTCTTAATTTGCTACTCCTATATCTTTTAAATCATGTACTATTCTTATCTACCTGGAACCCTATGCCATGTCGGTTCGGTCAGCCTGTGATTTGTGGTGCAGGAATTGATTAGAATTTGAATCCTTTTTGCTTCCCTTTTGGGGGCTTCCAACCAAGTCGGTAACTGTGTGTGGGTAAGGGTTTTGCTTATCAACCCCGCTTGCAGGGCTTTTCAAGCTTTTTAACTCTATTTGAAGGCCTGGCAAGGGAAATACTATGATGTTGACTTATTTAACGAGTCCAAGATCTCATTAGTAGTCACCCTTTGCATTTCCGTTATTGTAGTTACGCGGTTAATTAATCTATTGCATGTTACTCCCCAACTGATCCCTGATTTTCATGTCATCTGCAGAATCCAGAAGCTAGCAGCAGTGAGTAGTCTGAGTAGCGAAGTACTGGAGAACACACTACACTGATATCAGTCTGCATACTTTGAACTTTATTTTAATATATATAGACATGAAGCACTAGTTATTAAAAGTTCAGTGTTCCCTTAGTGTAGCTTAAACTTCATACCATGAGCTTGATGTTCTTGGTGATGTTTATGAACAAGTATGTTTTTAAGTGTGTGATTTATAAGTAAAAACCTGGTGTAGGTTTCTTATGTGCATAAACTCCCCCCCTCCCCCCTTTTTTTCGGCTCTCTGAACTTTGTGGCTCAACGCTGCTATTCAAATGCAGCTCTTGTGAAGATGAGGGCAAAACCACTGTCTGATTTTATACGTTTAACTTATCGAAGAGGAGGATAGAGGGGGTACTATAGTACTAGGTTTTAGTTATGTTTATGAGGTGGGGAATAATAGGCTAATCAAATGGTGGTGATAACAAATTTGATTGGATGCTTCAAACTTGGGGGAGAAGCATTACATTGATGGCCTGGACTGGCAAAACTCAAATCCGTTTCGGTTTTTGAAGCGATTTTTAAACTTATTTTAGGACAATACTATGACATCGGACCTGAAAATACTATAATCAGGAGTTGAGGATCGGATCCCGAATTGGGAGTTGGGTCCTGGGTTAGGGTTGGGGTCTAGTTCGAGGGCTGAGTTTCGGGTCTTGGGTTAGGAGTTAGTCCCTACCTTGACTTGGGACCTAGTCTTACTATGCCGACCATGACTAGGGACCCAGCTTCCAACTCGAGCCCCCGATTCATGACCTTGGCGTTTGATTCGAGACTCGATCTTGACTCAGGACTTGACTCCTGCCCCGACCTAGGAGTCGACTAGAGACCCAAGTTTCGACTAGAGACCTGAGACGGTAACCCCTACCCATGGTCTGACTCGAGACTCGACCCTCTTAACACAACTCCAGAGACGTTGATCCCTACCCATGGTCTGACTCGAGACTCGACCCTCTTAACACAACTCCAGACTGATTGGGCCCTCAAACCCAACTCCAACCTTGACCCAACTCTCAAACAAACTCTTGACCCCAACTCTTTCCAAAGACTCGGAGCACAAGATCTAACCTCGATTTGGGACTGGATTCATGATCCTAAGCTAGGTCCTAACTCCTAACCCCGACTTGAGACCCAACCCAATTTGAAATTCGGTTGAGGTCGGATCATTGGTCTCGAGTTGGGGTCGGTGGTGAGGTTAAAAGAGAGGTTTAAAAAATGTTTTTTTTTACTTTACGTACAGAAGTCATTTTCCTTAATCTAAAAAAATAAGTTTATTTGAAAAACATTTAATTTAAATCATGGAAAAATATTTCCTTTCATACCAAACACACTTGCGGTCCCCATCAAACGGTTGTTTTTCAGACAAAAAGCGAATTCTTGTGTCATTTGCTTGCATGTTAGAGGACAGAGGGTCGTCCATTCTTTGTCACTATTTTAAAAAAATAAAAAATAACGGGGACTCCCATCTTTCTCAAATCTTGGGTCCATGCAACCTCTTCTTTAATTATTTTTAGAAGCAATGATCACCAGATAGCCCTTCACTTAGAAGCAATGATAACTAGACAATATTAATTCATTATTTAGAGAACTCTTGAAGATAAATTGGAAGAGAGCAACTAATTATGGTTATTTGAAGTGTGTTCAACTCAAATTTATAACTTAATCATAGCAAATTTAGCATAACTGGATCTAAAAATCTATTTTTCCTTCCTTTTCTCTACAAATAAGAAAAGAAAAGAATAACCAATGGCGTAGAACCAGGAAGAGATTATTGATAAACTAATCCAATAAATTCATTTTAAAAAGAAATTCCTGTATAATTTCTTAACGGAAAAGATTAAATACGAAATGCATTAACGTATGTTGAATGATTGCAGGTTCCTACTCGAGGCAATGGGTCATCGATCACAAGTGTACCGTATTTACCGAGAGGCTAATATGGTACCAGACTATCTAGCAAGCAATGGCATGACCTAGGATTAACATAGTTTAGTTGGAGCTAATAATGTATTCTGAATCTCATCTCCCTCCTTCACTGCTGGATAACACTTAAATCAATGCCCAAAAAAGCAAAAAGCCTATGATTATTTAGTAAATCAGAGAACACACTTAATAACTGCAATATGGAGTCTTTATTCACACCTCAGTCTTATTAGCATCAAAAGAGACTAAGTTTTTCTACTTGTGGTTTCTGTTCTTTTCCCCCCCTTTAGTCTTTTGCCATTGAACTGCTTCTTCAAGTGAGTAGAAGTGCTGTGCTTCCAAGAAAACCCCCCATTAAGTTTCTACTAGACTGGGCATATTTCCTGCAAACTGAGAAGAGAAAAGTGCAAGTTGGAGCCAATGTTCTCAACACTGAATAAAAGGATGCAAGAAACTCCTACCTTCTTCCCAAGCATTCGATGATATCACCGGTGAGTGTAGACCTTTTCTTGTTGTCAAACGCCATAGATGCTGCGTACCTCAGTAAAGCAGATCCAGCAACGCATCCTAGTATGGTTGGATTCATGCTTACCTCCCCTTTAGCTGCACACTGGCGGGCCCAGGATAGGAACACTGCAACACTGCCCATTTACGTAGCGAGATTAACTAATACAGTTGCATAGAAGAGAGTAAGCAGGGGATGCAAGTTATAGTTGGCCAGAACTGTGAAGTTGCATTCTACTTATGAATATAAATGTATAGAATTCAAATTCTTTTTATGCACTGACAAGAAATTTAAATAACACATACGACTATAGTAATTGTGGAGAACCTGGATAGTCAGAAAAATAACATGTTATAATTATAATTTATTAAACTACACTGAAAATGGTAACCCATATGTATGGTAGAACATATAATTACCTTCCTGAAAGTATGTCACCCTGTCCACCACAGCGCCGTGGAGAACCATAAATACTCACTGCACAAGCTGCATATCACATATCGCTAGTTAGCTCGTGACTTCCAAAAATATTGAAGTAACCATTCCATAAACCTTGCTCCTCTTGAGCTCATCACTTAAGGAGTATATTGTAATCATAGACAACATCTGTTGGTGTTGCGTATCTTTTTTAATTCAAACATAGGAGCTGAAAGATGCATCTAAGCATTTGACGTAATTAGAGTCAGCATTTATACATGCAATACACCAACTATATCCATTCCATCAAACTATAGGAAAAAATGGAAGACAACATATCAATAGTGAAAATGTTGCCTATATCCTTTTAATACTGGGAACTCTAGGATTGATAGTTTGCCCAGGAATTCCTTAAAATGAAGCACAGTGAATGGTGCACCATCCTCAATAAACAAATCTAGCGCTGCAAAGTTCAGATAATGACCCCTCAAATAGGTATAGAGCACAATACTAGATGCAATTTCCTTCATATGAAGATGTAATGTTGCAAATACGCAAGAAGCACTAGAAGCAGCATAATAGATATGTAACATCCCAACATCAAACTCAAGCCACTATTGAAGGATGTTTTTTTCTCATAATAGCATTATTAAACAGCATCCAACATTGAAACTTAAATTGGTCCCTGAGTTCATCTTTTCTCAAAATTTTCCTAGGCTCCGTAAGCCATATCTTTTTTTTCAACACAACAAACTTAGGCTAGAAGATTGTGAAAAGGTTGTCTTATGAGTACAAGTATCTTTAACATAATCTCATAGAAGAACTGGGGCCTAACCATGTCCCCAATCTTATAGTTAAATGTTCTTCCCCTGAATCTAAGGCACTTTACAAAGTAATGGAAAAACTTCATCTGTTTCTAACCTGATGCTTCATTTCAAATCAAAATGGAAAAGAATTATCCAATACTACTGAAAATCTTTTGAAAATATGCTTACATTGCCTGAGCATCAGTTTATTAGCACGTCCGAGTAGTTACTTTCACAATAAAGATTCAGATTTACAGCTTGAAAGTCCCTATAAAAATATAAGTCCTACATGATCATTTTCCTCATATTAATATAAGTCTCATAACTAAGTTAAGTAGAAAATAGACTAGATATTCTCCTCCACTGAATAATGAAAGCAGGAGTCTCAACTTTTGCACATCATGAAAATATGCAGGCGGAACTCATACCGGAAGCACAAAAGGCTTGTTCATCCACCAGCAAATTACTGATCTATGCAATCCAAATGATTAAATCATCTGCAAAAGGCCATTAACAAAGAAAAATCATTACCTGTTTTACCATCGCTGACAAAGTCCGATTTCCCTTTCCGCAAGATTGTAACACCACCGATCCTGATCAAACAAATATGTTACCCATTACAACACTAGTAATAAAAGTGGTAAATCCAATGAGATGAATCTTGACAGCTATAAACTGGCCAAGAGAAAGATAGTTATATGTACATCCTCTTAAATCAGATCCAAACTAGAGGTAAATGCTATAGTGGTTGCAGACCTCTCAACCGTGTATATATAAATCTGAATTGCTTTACTTTTTTTAAACCAAGAAATGCCAGAGCACCAGCGGCGCACGGTTTGAAACTCGGTTGATATTGGGTCACCCACCCCTCTAACCTCCTCCACTTAAATATTAAGTTTTTGTTTGTGACAGGGTTAGACCCCATAACATGCGCATAACGCACATGTCACGCATTGCACTCTTACCACTAGACCAAAATCCTAGGGGTTCCAATGGCATTACTTTTTGAGACTCCACTATAGTCTGTTACACATGTGCAAAGTCAGCAAAAATCTAGCAGGAAAATATCAAGAGTTGATCTTTTACAAGATAAATCTCAAGTTTCTATGACCCAGTTTTCTTTTCTGGGGATAATGATATACCCAGACCAACTTGTTGTACAACTCGACTAATCCACCTGATCATCCTAAATGTTGTCATTTGAACCTGGATCTCTGAGTTGGTAATCTTATTTCCCAACCATTTCTCATACCCTTGCGAATAAACCCAGAGTTATATGATATATATCCTATTTCACACACCAACCTGAAACAAAGTTACTAGGAGGTGCATTGTCATTTCTTCCTCAAGGGAGGGGAAAATCTGAGAGTCTGCTGGGGCCATTTTATGCTTTTGTTCTACCCTCATTGCCTGACAAGCATGAGAAGTCACTTCCACTTCTTCTCAAGCAAAGGTCGGTAAGTTCTCAGCAGGCTTCCTCTATATTCTATTAAACATATAATGTCATCTTTTGTACTC